TATATCGATGACGGAGTTCCGGGCGGGTACCTCTTCGGGCAGTCGATCCCTGCCCGAAGAGGTACGCGAATGGTGTGAAACCGAGACCGGCCAAGGAAGCAAACTAAGCAGGACAACAGCACTGCAAAGAGAAGGAAAATTTGAAACATCCCTATCCTAACCCGTCTGGCCAGCGTGGTCTAGTAGGCCAAAACCTCATTTCTAAGGAGAGGGCAATGTCCAGCAGTGGGCTATTAAATATTGTTGATGTGAAATAGAAAACCTTTAATTTTCAAAACTCTACGAGTACAGAGGCAATTTGACATGCAAGTAGAGTATCTGAAAGAATAAAAGAAGAATGTGCTTCATGTAAAACAAATTATTTTCAATTTAAATTATTTAGCAGGAGTCGAATGCTTTTAAAATATATATTTATTGAGTGTAAGCTACCATTAACAGTCGACTGACCTTTTTCTCTTTACACTTTAAAATACGTCGTTACTCTACTTAATAGGTTTGTAATTAATTTTAAAATCTAAAGGACAAATTGATCCTTCCCTTGACCCACAAAGTGGTTCCAATTCAAATTACTTCACAAAAGGGTAATGTTTACACGTTATGCAAATTTCGAAACAGAGGTTTCCTGTAGAACTTTAATTTGAAATGTTATAATCTATTTTATACGCATAGTGTGTTATTATAATGTAGTCAAGACAGTTTACCTAATGTATAAAAAAAATATGAGTGCGATCGACCGGTACGTAATTACTAATGGATCTGCTGCTACCTGTAATGTTACACCTCTTCAATCAATCCCTTGATGTTAGCTGTGTCTCGACTGTATGGCGCCACGCTTTTGCCAAGCTAAGCCCAGCGAAGGATTAATATTCAAGTATTGCCAAGATTCTTAACAATTCGTACCCCAGCCGTTTTCGAACCATTCGAAGTCTCAAAAGTAGTTTTAAAATTATGGTGATTTAATCATAAAAATTAAAAACATGCACTCAGAATGTACCTATAATACTTGCGAGACACTAGCGACACTAGTCGCCTTGGACGACAAAACTCAATTTATGGATGAGCAGATGTCGTGAATTGACATATTGAATAAAAGATCTATAAATGTTATAATATTTATAGATATTATTTTTCTATTATAAACTGAAGCATGTTATAAATGGTATATAATACAAACTAAGTAGAACTTCATAGCTTTTCTTGGATATTAAATTATGCGTAGAATTTTATTACACATATTACCCAGTAAAACCTAGTGATGTTAACTTTCATTTGTATTTTAACTGTAAACGTAGGTAAATGAAATGACCTCTTAAGATGTCACTAATCTTTCTAAGTTGATTAACGATCACCACAATGTTATACTTTATTATATCTACTAAATAGATTAATTCGTGGAAAAACTAGGTACATGATTTATATCGTGACAGCCAACGTGCTACAAATAAAAATGGACAAAATTATACAACATAAATCATATATATTAGCTAGGTACATCACTCTTTATCTAGTCCATGTTATCTAGTTCATTCATTATACATTACTTCGGAGAAATCAATAATTTTGTGATAGCTATTATCTATTCTCTACGGATCCGAGGCATTGCTTTGGAGTTAGAATGTCCTGCGACATTAATCTCAATTATCGAAGTTATTTTATTTTGGTATGAGGTAATATATTATTTATATTCGCCCGTAAGTAATGTATGACATGGACATTAATTTACTTACTAAATATTGCCCGCAGCTTCTTTCGCGTTAGTGTACCACATCCATCTAAAAATATTTTTCTGTCAGAGATAGAAAATAGTTTTTCTTAACATATAAATAATGAAAATAATATGTTCTGGAAGGCACATCAATTATTTCTGAAAGAAAGCTACCTATTTTTTGAACTTTTCTGAACCCAATTTCTGCCAATGGATATACTAAATTTTGTGAAGATCGGTTTCGATCCAACGCATTCTAACCAAGTAAAAAAACGGAACTTACATTTGTAGGTAAAAAATGTAGTGAAGTTTTTTTGAGATAAATAATTGATTTGCTCAACTGCAGCTTACTTTTGCCTCTTCACTTGAGTCTACTAGAACCGAAACATCAATCGCATAAATATAAAATATTTTGTATAATCTACACAGAACAATGCATATTTAAACTACATTTTCATCCCATCTAATAATACAACCAATGAATCCTCAAGTATTTGGAAAAATAATAATATTTTCCAAATGTATGATAATAGATAGTTCATGAAAATATATATATATATAATATATTTTAATAAAAGTCTTCGCCATGGCTCTTCTTCGAACTTTCTAAATTCATTCCCAAGTCTTACTCTGTTAACTAACACCATTTTATAAAACCTCAATATTAGACATTTTTATCGTTTTTGATGTCTTAGCGTCTCATGTTTAACATATTGTCGAATATTTACATAAGCTGAAAATTTTAATATCACGGGAAAATATTATTATGTAAACTAATGAACTAAAAATAATAAATTCCAATTACAAATGGCCTCAATGTTGTATCGAATAATTCACAGAGGAAATCACTCTGTAGTGTTTGTATTAATAGAGCAGCCGTTTTACGAAATGCAGCCGTCTAACTTTTGACGACAATAATTTTAAACATTAAGTACTTCAAACTTAGTTCAACTTTCTGCCACTTCGAGAATACCATTGAAAGTATGGAATTTGTCTCACAGTTATAACGCTTTTACGCTAGAAGAAGGAAACTGAGGAAGAGAAAAGAGCGACAAATACAATGAAAATAATATTTGATGCGACAAAGAGTAATCATCATACGAGTATATGTCATCACCATATACCTTACATGTAATATAACTGCCTAAAATATGTCGTGAGGGTAAAAAGATCTTCTATCCAATAATTTTTAATCATCAAGCCCGGATCTGTGCAATATATACATTTCAAACGATTCATTTGTTGTTTACTTTAGGTAATTTTTTATATATCAATATATTTATATCAATATTTCTTCTCACAAAAAAAAGAGTTCAAACAAAGAGAATAGAAAATACCAATAAATTTAGGCATACATACAGTAAAAAACTTACGAACGAAACTGAATGAACAATCCAATAACGAGAGACTGGTATCAAAGACTAGCAACAAAGCTTGTAATTTATTTTATTCCGGCTTGAGGAAGTGGTGATCTTGTGATCTGTATCATAGATAGTGTTTGAAATAGGTGTAAGGACAATATTAAACCACCCGCTCACAATCTACAATGTCTAAAATAAGTATAGTTTGTTAATTCTAGGAGTTTAGATCAAAATGAGATAAAAATGTACAGATACCTCTTGTGTATTATGTATTAGTATTATGGTATTATTAAATCTAAAACCATCAATTTACGTGTATTTACATTGGGTAGACTCGCTATAGTTTATAACAGTACACGAGAACAATATAATGTTTATGTACCTATTAAGACGAGTTTAAAAATTAATATAAGGATTTGTAGGGCTAACGCGATGATGTTCAGTAAGTATTTTTTCAGTTTTATTTATTTAAGAAAATTGCATTTCTTTCAAATTCTAAAAATTCCAAGGTTTCCAAGAAAATTTAAAACAAAATCTATGAAACAAGTATTTGTTTTTTAAGAGTGCGTGCGCGTATGTTTAATGTTCATTTGCGTATAAAAGGGACCCAATAAAAGGGATATTGGGAGTCTGCGGTCAGATTCCCAATAATGAGTCTTTTTGAAAACATTTCAGTCGGTATTTATCACCGTAACAGTCATCATCCTCTGTAAAAAAGTCGGAAACAATTTAAATAATAGATGTTGTGAAAAATACAAATCTAATTTATAAATATCAATGTGTTTGTTCGTAGATTTTTTATGCATTGCGGTACCGTTTATTCGATCGTCACAATATAATTTCATCCAAATTTCGAAATACAGAGAAGAACATAGGAAACTTTTCGTCCCAAAATAGTATTGTTTTCGAGGAACGGAAATACGCAAACGAAGCCGCAAATAAAAGCTTAAGCTAACAATGACAAAATAGTCAACGAAATATATAATAATCTGGAATATATTAAACTCTGGCGTATCTTCCCAAAGTGTAAAGTCATTCTCAAATGACCTATATATTACCTACTTATTATGTTTTTTTGTGTGGAAACCCCTTGAGTCACACCTCAGCTAAATGGCAAGGTATGTCGGACTCGAACTGACATATAATGTAATATAATAAAAAATAATCATATGATAGATAAAAATTGGTACCCATATTTAGCGATAAATTCCCGTTAAAGTGTGTAGACTGGTAGACAAAGGGCGCTGTAATAATGTTCACCAATGGTGATGTAGTGTTCTTATATGAAATCATTTATATTGCCGGTTTGAAGAAAATTGACAATTTGTATAATTAATTTAAATTGAAAACAGTGACAATATTTATATATTTTTTTTTTGTTTTTATAAGAGAACTCCCTCACTAGGAATATATCCTGTGTCTCGGGAGACTTTACTAACATACATGAAACGGACACAAAGAGTTCAGAGTCTGGGTGACTCAAAACGACAATTTGTGGATCACACAAAGTGTCGTCCCTTGTGTGTCCTTGTGTGGCGTGGCAACGGCTTAAAACACTACGCCTCCGCGCAGTCTAGTGTGAACAGTGTGTTTTTGTTAGTAAAAATGAACTTAGTACAAACTAAATCTTTAACATTATTAACTGTTATTGTCCTCTATTAACTGTTACTGTTATATGTTCTCAATTCAATTTCCTTTTGATGTGTAAATAAGAAACAGATGTATTTTTATTTGTCAAATTCAGACAAAGCGTCTGAATTTGACAAATAAAAATATTGTGCACTTATATAACAGAATATATACTCACGGCTACTCCAAATAAATTCGTGCCTTAATAACTGACTGTAGCCGCGTAATGTATATAACCTGTTAGTCTTTTCATTAAGACGGTACTCGAAGACTGTTTAGGTTTTACAAAAGCTGAAGGTACTTACCAAATGTCTATATACTACAAAAGGTACATATTCAATCATGACGAACACATCAGCAACAGCAAGCCATTTCAGCAGTCTATTTATTGGGGCAGCTGCCATGTCTCGACGTGTCAGGACTGCTATGTTCATTGTGTTCGCCAAAACGCCTATTGTACACACCTGAAACAATCAATGACAATGAAAGCTTCTGTAACGTTCTGTTTACACAAATTAGGTCACAAAGAAACGTGATATATTGAATTGAACAATGGCGATACACATTGTAAATTTCCTCAGGTTTACACAAATAATTACTTTTTTCCAGATTCTACAACTTTTTTAAGTGTAGGTATGACCCGAAATAATTTAGTAATAATAATAACAACTCTTTTCATAAACTTTGTAGCCTCCTCTTTAGCAAAGAACTTTAGTTATAAATAAATAAGTATTCATTGGTAGAATTCACAAGTATTATTTTAACATTTCTGGGAATTTCTAAAACAATAGCATTGGTGAAACGAAATGATTAAAATATATCGTAAAAATATGATCGTCTTTTCTTAAGTTACTTGCTTATCTTTTCTATATACTAATACATAGTAAGAAAAGCATGTAGATAAAGTTCAGAAAGCTAAAAAAACAGCCAAGTGCGTGTCGAGCCATGCCCAATGTAGGGTTCCGTAATCACCTATCACAAAAATGCGAACACACATGCGTACAAGGGAAATTTGGTGTTTTGCTGAATATTTAACGGAGTCGGCAACATGAAATTTAAAACGGGCCCACATAGGATGATGGTAACTGAAAAGTAGTTATAAAATCTTTCTTCCTAGCTAAAACGTCGAAATAGTTGGTCTTCTACGAATATTGTGAGATATAGTGTAGACAGAAGGACGGACATGACGCAACTATGAGGATCCCTTTTTGACATTTTGACTACAAACCCTAAAATTATGAATATTTGATAGCTGAAGGGTGCATTGACCTGTCATGGTAAGGATATCCATACAATATAAGTATAAATTACAGGGGTCGATGATATAAATTAAACCATTTAACACTTAGTAAATGAGAAAAATACAATATTAGTAAGTAAACATTTTGTTAATAGAATGACAAATTGTTTACTTACTAATATTGTATTTATTGTAATATATTAAACTCGACATTAACTTGTTAAATTATTTTATCTAAGGCACATTATTGTAGACACAGTGAAAATTGTCACTATAAAACTTCTAAATTTACTTGTTAGAATATTTCGAGGTCAAATGTTAAGTAAATAATTCTCAAACATGTTAAATAATATTTATCGAATAATAATGATATTATAATTAATAACATGTAGTATCACAAATTCAGTGAATTAAAGTGTAGAAGGTCAGAGCCCCGTGTTTCCTCTCCGGCCACTCTCGTAGGACTAGTCTTACCGGGGCACTGGGCCGCGCAAGCCGTTGGTCCCACTCCACTAGTAGCCGGGGAACCAGGTGTACCCGAGAAAGGCAATCCCTGGTACACTGACGGACTCAGGGCTATCTACGGCTTGTAAATGACGCCATTGTGTATGGGAACCGCGGTGTTCTCATTCTACTCCCCAAAGGGCGCACGCGCTCCTACAAACTACTTTCTGTCTTTATGGCTACTCGCAGTTGTTCTAAACACTTTTGTATTATATCATCATTAAAATCGTCTCTAAGATAAAAATAATATCCTAGTGTAACGTTTTCATACGTATTATAATAATATTTATCTTTATCGGAGAGCAACGTTCATGAAAATCTAAAATTAAGTTCCTGAATAGCTTTTATTTCGTACGTTTGTATTCAACAAGCGCACGACTAATAAAAATAAATACAAAGATATTTTTACTCGAGTTATTACTTACATTCGTATTTATGAGTATAAACTCATAAACGAGAAAATTAGTACACAATAGAAAGATATAAATAATATTAATTACAGAAGCTAGACTGTTAAATTACTTCCAGATGTTTCATCCACAAACTGTGAAATAAGCATGTTGTGCAGAAACGTTACAAAAACAAAACATTTGTATGTTCTAATGAGAATATTATCTCTTACAAACTATTATCGAGTAAAACACAATACGTTAGACGAAAAAGCATTTTGTTGAATTTATATTATTCACTGGCAGTACAAATTGAAGAAAATTTTCCTAGCCTTTTTTCATTAATATGAATACTACTCACGAGAGCTATTATTCTAATAGATAAATATTTTACAATTATTATTTTTTTACTTTATTTATTATTCATCATCACATCAACAGCCTATAATAGTCCACTGCTGGACATAGGCCTCTCCTTAGAAAGGAGATATGTATTAGGTATATTATGTGATTTTGCTTTCAGTTTTCACTTATCTAAACTAATGTGTCCACATTAGTTTGGAAAAGTAAAAACTTAATAACTCCATAAGTAATATCAATTTTACCCTTTGGAATTGTGCATTCTCTCCCAGTCAAACTTCAGGTGATTGTGGTGAGTGATTTTCATGTAGAGAGTCACAATACTAAAGTCCTTCGCGACACAGGATATATTCCTAATGCAGGCGTTGTCTTTTAAAAAAACAAACAAACAAAACAAACTGAATAATTGCCAAAACCACGCAATTATCTCTTGTAGACCCTTTTCGCACTTTTTTTATGTTAGAGGGGGCAGATGAGCAGACTCAGGAGTCACAAACGCGTTGCCGGCCTTTTAGGAAGGAGTACGCTCTTTTCTTGAAGTTCGGAAATACCGTAGACTTGTCTTTAATGTCAAAATGATTATAAGGGCTTTCACACATACTTATATCCAACGTTGTACACTTAACTGCACATCAGAGCCTAAGAGAGAAGGGGGTCAAACTTTGATGATAACATTCCGTATCTACCTTGAAGCCAACTGTTAGATGAGACAAGTTTTGGGATTAAATGTAAGACGTGGTAAATTTTTGGTTTAAGTATTGTTATAGTCTTTTTAAAAACCCAATACACAATTAATACAAGTTGCATATCATACTTCTCTCTTGTAAATCGCAGGCATAACTTCGGTTTAACTTTCTTCTGCAGTAATACAAACTCACTTATGGGCGAAAAAACACTGGAGTGCTGGATTTATGATTATTTAAACAGTGCACTCCTAAAAGAATTACACAATACTTCTTCTAGTTCTGTGTTTAGTTTTCATCTATCTGAACTGTGTCACTGTACAGTCATGATAGATTGTAGATCTAGAGAGAACAGATTCATAAATAAATAGGACGAAGTAACAGTAAAAAGTATTTATTGCACTCTGCAATAAATGCTCCTTTACTTCTAAATTAAAATTCAAAATTTACAAATCGAAAATAAAGTAGCTGCAGAATCAGTAACAAATATTTCCCCTGAATTAAGTTTTTGTAAGACAAAATAATAGCTATGTTAAAATAGTACATTTTTTTAGTAACCTTTACGACACTATGCATATAATAAATGTATTTGACTAAATTCTTGGTGGACCGGCTAGAAACGACCCGAGCATAAGAAAAAGTGAATTTGACAGGCCTTTTTATCTTATTATAACGAAAGTGCAGCCGGGATAAATACTTTTAAATTTTTTAAGTAAGGATCATTATAAAAACTATAAAAATATAGTTTTTATAATGGTCATTACTATGACATATATCGAAACATACCATTAATTTAAACTATGGTTGGTGTCTAAAACCACAAAATACATAAATTATATCATGACGATTAAGTAGGAAGCGACACATTTTGCTCCCATACTCATTGCACATATTTATTTTTGTCGCAATTTTTTTTAAGTTAGGTATTGGTGCCTGCATGGTGCATGGTATATATATATATATATTTATTTATTTAGACTCGAATAAGATATGGTTTTCATAATGTAAGACATTCTTCTGCCAATACTTAATTTGACAAGAGTACCTATATTAAAAACATAGTGAATCAACGTTTTTAGAGTATCATCATCATCAGCCTATCGCAGTCCACTGCTGGACATAGGCCTCTCCCATTGCACGTTTTTTGATATTTCTATTTTTTTTTTTGCTTATTTTCGATACTATACTAATGTTAAAAAACTATAATTATTCAAGAAAACTTACTTCAAAAATGTTTATATGGATTTTCTCATCGTATCGTCGGTATGTTACGTCTAACATTAGGATATAATTTCCAATTTTATACGCTCAATAATAAATTAGCGTTTTAAGTTGAGTAACTTATCTAAATTAAGTTGTTTAAAACTAAAATTAGTTAAGTCCTACATGTTCCGGATACGAAATATAACTTGGCTATTTAAGATAGTTTTTCAGAACAAAACTGGCACAAATAAACATATTTATATACATATTTAAAGTAGTAGGGTTTACTCGTATGTCAGTTGAATGAACTCTGGAATCCAAAATGGCTATGTCAATTCATCATTAAACTCCATTCCGCATGATAATCCATCCGTCCATCAGTCCTGTCCGTGTGGTAACGGATTAAGATTACGGAGTGTTATCACCCCATATCTTAAGGGACTAAGGGAACAAATTATGCAGGACAACAGCACTGCAAAGAGAAGGAAAACTCGAAGCAAACCCTATACCAACCCGTCTATGCAGCGTGGTATAGTAGGCCAAAACCTCCTTTCTAAAGAGGGTCCTATGTCCTGCAATAGACTGCTATAGGCTGTTGATAATGATGATGATATCATAATAATTCCTTCCCATCCTATAGAACAGCAGGTATACTAGGTTTAAGAATAGAATAACAGCGTTAATTATACTTGTTATTAGACCAACTTCGGACTAAATATTGATACTGGAATATTTAAATAAAAGAACTTCTTAAATTATGTAATAGTTAAAATATGTAAACTATGTGATCGAGATTGTAGCTAATTTGTTATGAGGGAACTGGATCAATGCATATAACTTCGTAGCATGTGTCGTAGATTCTTAAACTATGCAGTAATTTGCAACGTCGTAGCTGTTGAAAGCTTGTAGAAGTTCAAAGATCGCAATTAGGTGCCAGTAATTTGTTTGAAAATGTTGCTTGACAACTTTATTAAGCATGAAAAATTTATTTGATGGTATTATATTTGTTAAAGGTTTTACATGTTTGGCAACATAACTCAAAATTTACGTGAAAA